AAAAAAAAAAAAAATCAAAAACCTTGGAAAAGGTTAGATTAAGACACAGCAAGAACTGGACAATATTCAATATTAACAAAGCAACTAGATCTACATAACCACACAGCAGCAAGATTTACCATGAAGCGATGCATGAGATGTGCAGGAGTGGAGCCAGACTGGAATGGCTTTTGCTTGGGGGTTGGCATTGGCCCATCATAGAAAGGCTGTTGTGTAGATGATGGTGGTAAAGCTGGAAAGCCACCAGTCTGATCATCATCGTCATCTTCCTTTTCAAGAAGATTGGAATTAGCTTTTATCATCCCAATATCTAGAAGTTTAAAAAAAAATTACATCTTATATATATTATTATGACAGAATATAGGTAAAAAATTTAAAACAGTCAAAACTTCTCTGGAACAGTAAGGTAGAATATATCTGAGTAGAGGATGTTAAGAGATCATCCCAATAACAGCACTAAAGAGCTCTGGAAAATTAGTTCATTCTGTACCTAGTGAGTTATCATCATCATCAATTATTGCCCGTCTCAGATGGCCTGCAGTTGGCATAAGGTCACCATCATCAGCACCATCGGCATTATCTCCAGCCTTTGGGGAAGACTGTGGTTCAATCATATCTCCATTTAAATAGTCGTCGTCTTCTCCATCAAAGAGATCATTGTAGTCCTTTGTCAATGTACTGGCAACCTAAAACCAGATTAAAAACCATCATAAAACTTCTTTTGGACGTGGAATTCAAGAAATTAATTAACACACAAGAGGGAACTTTCAACACACAAAACAGAATATTCAATATAATTTGGTAACCTAAATAATCATGTTAATTTAAGAAATACTTAGTACTGATCACCTTGTCATTTGGTTTCTTTCTATCACCAATATTTTCCAACAATCCCAGATTTCCTTCAGTATCTGTATAAGCGATTTGCCTATATTTGGGGTGCCATGCCAGTCCACAAATTGAGTAATTTTTATCATGCTTCATTCTAAAAAGAATATAAAAAAATGGATTTTTAGTAAGCTTCTCAGGGCAGAAAGCTCCCCAAGAGTTACTGTAAAAAGTGGTAATATTTACTAGTATTAGAAAGTGATGTTACAGTGATGTTACACATAATAAAATAATTAATAGGTCACCTTTAGAATAAACAGCTACTATAAAAAAAATACAGGTCTTCCTTTTCTATGGATAAAATCATTTAAGCTTTAAAAATCAAACAGAATCATACTCTTAAAACAGCAGCTTCCTGATATGTGTAGAAAAGATAAAGCAATTCCCCAGCAGTCATACATTCCAGAACCATCCAGTTATAAAAGGAACATTCAGTTGTTTCTCTTGTACCAAACTGATGAGTTAATGCTCTATCTTTTCCACCCTTTATTCTCACAAAAAATTCTCCCATTAATTATTTACATAATCTATCTTTAATTCTTAACATAGGCATTACAGTAACAATCATCTTTCTTACCCAAAATATTCAGACAGATAAATCATCCCTTCTCTCCTTCTCTACCTCACTTAATCATATGGGTTTGGGGGTTTTTTGGGGTTTTTTTTTTTGTTTTTTTCCCCAGAGAGAGATGCTTTAACTAACCAAGATAAAGTGCATTTTGTCAGTTTGTCCTTTTTTGCCTACAGGTGAGGATGGCTGACTGATGTATCTGTATTTCCCTCTCCCTTTAGAAAATAAATCTTACTGCCAACGATCTTGGGATTTGGGATGTGAGGAAAATTTGTTTCCATCAAAACTCTCCTTTAATCAACTACTAGATTAAAAGGTAATAAAAGGTATTTGCACACAGAAAACTAGACTACGGAATTTGAACAAAACTCACATTAATGTCCCTTCCCTATTGTATTTCTAAGAATGTAATGTTTCCAGATCCTTCTAGCTATGCAGAAAGGAAAACGGTGTATCACATGAATCAGAACATACTTCTGTGCATACTGGATATGGTGGGAAGGCAAAACAATGCCACACTTCTACCTACCACCAAGAGTTATACTCTTGTGGAAGTTGCTTCCTTGTAGAACAGGGAATGATACGGCAGCCCTTGAATTCCCTTCAGCATGTGAACCACAGTATTAGCGCGCCTCACTCGGGCTGCACAAGAGCAGAGCCCTCCTCTTGCTCCCTTTGCTCAAGTCTAAGCTGAGCGGTGGCCCTGCCTCCCAGCATCACCCAGATCTGACACAGCTCTTTTGACCTGTGTGCTTTGGCTCCCTCTCTGTGGACGTGCTCCCAGCCCCACCACCAGCTGGGAGACCATCTATGAGGCCAGGTAAATGGTATTCTTCAATCTGAGCCTTCATACGCTGTCTCCTGGGGTGCTTGTTTTCAGTAGAACATTAGCAGAAAACTTACAGATTTGCTCTGTAAATCTTATTAAGGCTTTTCAAAAGGCGGAGTTCTACATTTGCACAAATAAGTTTTACAGAAAAGGTAACAAAATTCTATTTCAAGAAAAAGCATGTACTTAGGCATTTACGGAACAACACTGAATACCTGTCTATGCACTCCTGGGTTTCCACATTCCACACCACCATACTCCCATCCACACTCCCAGCTGCCAGATACTGCCCACAAGGAGACCAGGCCACAACATTCTTGGGCTAAGGGGAAAAAAAGAAAAAAAAGAAAAAAAAAAAATTACCAATGCACACACAGCATTCATATTCTGGAGCTTAAAAAAGACAGATACTCTGGAATAAAAAAAAGTAATAATGATATTTAGCAAATCACATCCAGCTCCTCTACTAGAGCTGGTTTTAGGTAGTTCGCTGCAAGAACCATTCTTTTAAGATAGCACACTTCTTTTTTTTACGAGAATATCCATCTTCTGTCATTAAAAGCTGTCATGAGGTTGAACAAAACCCGATTCTAGTCACGTAGACAGAAGCATAGTATATTTTGCAAACTCAGCATTAAACATAGCTTTATTTATTTTGAACTTAATACAGTTTCATAAATTAAAATCCAAGACTGTGTGTTCTGTACCTTAATAGCACTAGGCAAATGGTCCTCTTTAACCCAAAGGTTTCCAAGTATATAATGAGGTCAAAAGAAAGATGGCACAGTTAGGGCTACTACGTAGCTAAATTTCAGATTAATAAAATATACAGTGAACAACTGATATCTCTGTTCTGTACAGAAATAACACTCTTGACATTTTCCCTAAAATGCCATGTAATTAGAGCAATTTGTGAAAACAGATGTTCTTCAGCTGCAGCTGGTGACTCATGTGTAGACCCTAAAAATCTAGTGGGTTACTATAAATGAAAGAGGGGAACCAGAGCCACATAAAGACATGTTTGACACTCACCTAGTATGTCTTGCCTTTTTTTCCAACATAAAGTAACAGGATCAGAAATGAAATAGAAAATGTGAGCAACCATTACCAAGAGTGGGGGAGAAGAGGGCAAGAAAGAGATACTGTCCAGAAGATAATTTCTAGCAGAATAACATTTAAATGATGGAAGATTTAGTAACCACCTGGTTCATGTACCTACCTGTGTGATGAATGTATCTGATAGATCGAATTGACTATCCCAGGTTTCTCTTCTGTATAGTTTAACAACTTTATCTACAGGAATTGCCAGCAACTGTTCAAAGGAAACAAGAATCAAGACAATTTAGAACAAGTTACCTTTCCAACAGAACATTCAAATAGCATAGCTCCTTCATTCAGAAGTATTACAGTTGTGACTGCGTCAGTATTTAATGGTTCTCTACTATCCCAGCAATGCCAATTGAGAAAGTAAAGAAAGCTGAAGTAACTTGCATTATAAGGTTCTTTAATGCTTTCCACATGCAACATAGCAAAGCATGCCTGTTTTTATTTTAATCTTCATTTCTTTCTGGCAGAAAACTGAAGATAATGACAGCTGCACCATAAGGTTAGAAGTTCTTATTTATGAAACAGCTAACACACACATATAAATAGTTTTCAACGCTCTGAGCACAAGGCTTATGTTCTCCTCCTCCCTCCCTCCACAAACCTCTTTTGACCAGGTTACAATTTCTCAATAAATCTTATTTGAATAGCTGATTCCTGAAATAGCTCATTTTATCTTTCATAAAACTACATAAATGTTACTGTTTATTTTTTTAGGATTTGGGTTTTTTTAAGGACTTTAACAATTTGCTTCGTAAGAGAAGCAAGACAACCACTTACATTTCAACTGTGTGTGTGTATGTGTGCATGTGAAGAATTAGCCTAAAAATTACAAGTAGCTGTTCCTATGCAATATGGATATTGAAACAATTTGTACTGCAGGTGACATTCTCTCTTCCACAGAAATGTTATACATAATGCTATTATAGCAGCCAGGTATTTTGAGGAGTGGGCACGGGTAGACAGACACAAAGGCTAAGTCAGGGAAACAAGATTATTCAGGTAAGAACTGTGAGAAAACACTGGAAAATACTCTTTAGATCCAGTATACTGGAACGTCAATAAAGGATTAATAGGTTCTGCCACACTATTATCACAGGCAAGAACAGAAGCCATAAAACAATTTTTCCAAATGGCCAACTTTCGCTCAATTCCCTGTCCTTTACTTCAAGTATGGCAGGGCATGCCTCATTTCATACAGGTTCGCATTTATCTGCTCCTTCCTCCTCTCCCCTTTGCATTATCAGATGCTGCAGAGGTGTTCTAGGTTACATGCTAGAGAGACATCTATATACCTATACTAACTCCCCAACCCATTTTGATCAGCGATCCATACATAGTACTATTGCAGCAGTATATACACAATGCACTAGACCTGTAGTATGTATCTGCACCACCTTTAGTCACAACAGAATCAGCTTCGTTCTTCAGGTGAAAAGAAAGGGAACAACTTACTCAGGAAATATTTACAGAGCAAGATTACTGATAGGGCAAAATTTACTTAAAGTAGAGAAAGACTGAACTCCTTTGATGCTCTGTTGTGAGCAATTTGATTATTTCCCTTGTGTACAATGTTCCTTCCTATTCAGCGCAACATGAGTGTTGAATGTTTTTTTGGGCCGACAGCTGGACTACTGCCAAACACAGTCTGCAGCTTAAACAAGCAACCTTTTCCAGGTTTTTATTTTTCCTAAAAGTGAACTTTACCCCAAATTTTTTCCTTAGTCCCAGGAGCTGCAATTTGGGCTTGCCCAGATTGAGTTCTACTGTTGGATTCCCAAAGAGAAATGAAGGATTAAGATGTGGCTAAAACAATGTCACTTACCTTCCCACTGCCAGGTTGCCAGCCAAGCCTGCATATTGATTTAGCATTTATCACATCGTTACATTTCTGCAGCAGTGGCCAGCTTGTCGTGCATGTCTGAAAACAAAAAATAAAAAAAAGAGGTTTTTAGCTCTGTGAAAATCTACTGTACAGTACAAATTCTTAAAGGAAAAGCGTGGAAAAAAATGAAAAGGAAAAAAAGATATGCCATTTTTGAACTGAAATAATCTCTTTCATCCAAATACAATGGTACATATTACCTTAAAAAAAAACACAACTGAAAAAATATCTTGCCAAATTAGTCCCAAAAATATATTAATGACAATACAAATATTTGTAACAGAAATAAGATCACAGAACAAGTGTTTTTACTCAAGTACAGAACAAATGAGCTCATATATTTTTAGGTTACAGAGAAATCTAACCAAATGCGTTTGTCAAACCCAGATCAACTGCAGCAAGGTGACACACATCAGCCTGAATCTCGCCACAGCAGTATAAAGAATGAATGGCTATGTTCTCAAATTACAGCACAGATAGATAAATTATACTGCCACAATCCCATCCCAGGACACTGTTAGTCTAATTGCCCCAAAAGGCACCCACTGTCAGTCTGGAACACGAGATTTCACACTAAAAGTACGCTTTTGTTTTAAAAAATAGCAATCCACAAGTGCGGAGGTACATTTTCAACTGTACTTACAGGAATAATTCCACATGGATTCTTATTCCAGTCAATGGCATTTAGCAAAAATAATCCCACATACATATTCAGAATTGCCTTAATAAAGCATTCACCTGAAACCCTCTTTTCAAGTTCCTTAGAGTTCCAAGAGCAGAGACTAAATCTGATTCTCTCACTAAATCCGATTTCTTACAGGCCCTGAACTATTTCAGCCAAATATTGCCAAGCCGAGCCCAAAGACTGTATTTCTCATAAATTATGTTCTTCAAAACGTGATTTACGTCCTCCTCCTGAGAAACTGTTGTGAAGTTTGTAACAAACAAACAAAAAAAAGTGGAATAGCAAGCCCCTTGTCAATAGCCTTAAACTCATGCAAATCTAAGAGGTTGAAATGCACTGAGCTGAATATCGAGTCCTGAGAAAACTAAGTATGTGTGCCACAGGCAGAGAGCAGGAGATGCTGAAGCAACATTGTGTGCAAAGTCCCCTATCAAAGAAAAATTTTATCATCATAGGCATCATCTCAGTGATCCTGGCATGTGAAATCCGTATCTCTTCCTAATCTCAGGTCAAAGCAATTGTGTTCCTAATGAGACTGACCAACCAGATCACTTATAAAAGAAGATACTGTGTAGCATCTCAGAGCATTATTCCACCTTCACCAGTCAGTCTACAATCCTGAAAATTATTCATTATTTCATAGGAAGCTTGGTAAAAATAAATAAAAACAAAATATACCTAGATAGTTGTTTAATTAGAATAAAAATCCTTCCTTAACCCCAAAAGCAATGAGCTGAAATTCTGAAATAAGAAGTCTGATGTCAATTGCTATCTTTACACAGAAGCGTTATTTCTGAATGAGCTGAGGACAAAATACACAATGTTGGCCAATGAAGAAAGATGAACAGAAGAAATCAGGTATTCCACAGACAGGAAGAACAATCCACAGCTACCCAGGCAACATTTCATAATCAGGCTTTGGAATTTCTCCCAGAAGTAGATAAAAGTATTCTGTGAACTGTAGTTAGATTTCTTCCCCAAAAAGAAAACCCTATTCCAGCAGGGTTATTTCAGTCCAGCTCTTCTTGCTGTCTGTGAAATCCTGGATTTCTCATGAAACATTTAACTTTGAAAAGCAGGCCTTTTACCTGATCTGCGATTTTCCATACTCTGACAGAACCATCACAGCTTGCCGATGCCTACGTAAGAGATTTTTGTAAACAAATTAATAATTAAAGACATCGAGAAATTAATGCTACAAAATTGAAAAAATCCCTATAACCAATGCTACAGACATATAATACATAACAGTTTTAAAAAGAAAGTCTCCCTGTTTAAACCATTTTAAGACTTCAAACTTTCTAATGCTGTCATCTTGATAATTGTACTCGACTCCAAGCTACTGTAATTACAAACCCTCATACTTCACGTGAGCTGCTTATTCGCAAAAGAAGCTCAAAATTAGTATTAAATTGCTTTAGTGAGCCATCTTTTCCCCTCAAAAATCTGATCAGCATTAGATTCCAGAAGAACATAGACAGTAACTGAGTAGTAAAGCAAAGACTGAGTTCTCCTGGGATGCAACAAGTTGTCACAGATTCCATCATCAGTAAGGTCAGTTAAAATGAAGCAGTCTCATGTGCCCCGTCACTGGTTTTTTTTTGTAAAAAGTATATATTTATTTTCTTTCCCAGGGAAAAGGAGATTCAAAGTAGAAAGTAAACAAGAAAGTTTTTACCAGGTAAACATTCCTGGGGTCAAAAGACAGGCTTAAAACGGGAGCATCGTGTCCTCGCAACATTTTCTGCTTGCTGCTATCTGTCACCTCCACAACTTTGACCATGAAGTCACTGTAGATCACAATGGCACAGACATGAAAGTATTAACATTGGTATTAACAATGACAAACTATGTGTCTATGGCAATAAAAATTGGGCACTAACTATCTTTTGGGGAAGTTATGGCTCTCAACACTGTATGATCTAAGGGAAAATGAGAATCTTGAGGCTTACCACAATAGGAGCAAGGCCAGATTATCTTTATCAGAAAGTAATTTTTGTTCATGTCAAAGTTCCTAAGATATGGTTGCTCTTTGAAGAGGATATTATGTACACACAGACCATATACCTGTTTAAGATAATATTCTATACGACCTAATGAAAACTTCTGCTTAGATGCCAGAGAGCTGACTTAACAAGAACTATGTGTCAAATGGAACCGATATTCATTACTATAATTATTTGGTCATGTGGTTTTTAAAAAAAGATAGAGCAAGTAGTTTATTTTGTGATGGTTTTAACATGATTTTTAAGACCATTTAGTGTATCAGATACACCAATAGATTTTTTACAACTTTATTCCCTCCTCCAAAATTACAGACATTACTGCATAACTCAAAATATCAATGCTGACTTCTAAGCCAAAGACCTCCTGTGACAATCTTCCAGTATACTCCCTCTCATACTTCATTGCAACACCCTCAGAGAGAAATTTAATTTTAGGACCTAATTCTATAGGGTTAACCATTACTTTAACAATATACAGAAACACAACCTCAGTTTTGTCAGCTATCTAATGCTAACCCGAGTCAGAAAAGGAAGTCTATAAGCTATATTGTGAGACAACTAAAATTATGTTAGTCCTCTTAAACAATGCAAGACAAATTAAAGGAAAAAACCAGGCAATAAGGTATTTTTTGTTTATTTGAGAAGCCACACAACTATCTTTGAAATAGTTCATGTGAACTTTGGCAGCCAGCTGGATGATAAACTTGTATAAAACTGAAGTTTACAGACTTCACGTAAAAAATTGAGAAATCTGTGACAACTAAAAGCAATTCTTCTTAGCTGCATTCCTTCACTTCATGGCTGTCACTTTCTCCTTCAGTATGTTATAGAAGACCTCATCGAGGTCTCACAGTCTTATGAGCTCTTTTTCCTAACGTGAGGGCCCTGCTCAGGCTGCAGAAGTACTGGGTTTTTGAAAAAGTTATAGAAACTGAAAAGAGTTTGCCGTCTGCCTAATCTCTCTAATCAAAGTCAGATCCTGGGGCAGAGCTGTTCCCTCAGAAACAAGCATTGGCAAAGGGCCCAAACTCATGATCCCTGTCAGATTTAGAGATTAGAGTGGTTACTGCCCCCAGCTGTCCAGCCTCCCAGTTTTGGTGGAGCTGGTGTGTCTGTTCCGCAGCTGCCAGAGTTCACAGTCCAGCATATTCATGCAAATTGCTTTCTAGTTCAATTCACACTTGGAGGAGCCAGGGAGCAGATGCAATGCTCTACCATCTCTAGTGTGGGGATGGAGGACAAATTCCAGTAGAGCGGCAAGCACACAGCCTGGGTTAGCTACAGCTGTCCAAAGAGTTCACCAAATCCAATTAAGAATCACCTGAGCCTTAAATAAATGAAAAAAAAAAAATATTGCCTGCTTGCTATTTTGCCATCTCTGTTAATGGAATAGAGTATATTATGTAAAAGCAAACATGCTGCCCTAAGAAAAGAACTAACTGTGCATTTAATTCCCCTCAAGCGAGTCTTGCAACTGTCATCTGCTATCATTTGGCAGAACGGTGATGATACTTATGCCAGAGAATGACTCAAAGCTCTCGCACAGATCAGAACCCATCTAACTTTTGCATGTGTATATACATCTGCAGCACCATGATCCTGAACAGTCAGGACATCATCTTTAGCACACAGTAACAAAATCCTTGATGCTGCAATGAGATCCATATGGGTGAACACTTATACTTATGCATTATAGGACTGAAAGCTGAAAACACTCAAGTCTCCTAAAGAAAAGGAATTATTTCACAACACCAGATTTCCATTTAAAATTATTTGGTGGATCAAGTATCTCTCAGAGCATTGTTTCCTAAAGTCCTTTTCATTCCTTTCTTCCCCTCCACCCCTGGAAGGCATTTTGCAATACTTTAAAACCCTCAGAGGTATGTGGATTAATGACCTCATTGGTAAAAAATCAGCATGCAAGGAAGTTGCCAGATTTTGAACAATAGCAATGTTTTTCCTTATCATGCACAGATTACCTAGATCCAGCAGCAATTTTGGTACCATCGCTATTAAAGATGACGTGGTTTGCATTCATGGTGAAACGAGTAAGGATACCATCTGGAGCTCCTTCAGGAAATGTATGTATCTGAACAGTATTGTTCGATACTGCTGTGATCAATCTTCCATTCTAGAAACAAAATCCATCATAAAATTTGTTAGTTAAAACACATTTATGTCCACGGAGCCAAAAAAATTGCTCTGATGTGCCTAATATTTGGCAGATTAACTTTAGTAGTTCCAAAAGAGGTCTGACAGTAAGAGTAGTAGGGGAAATATTCTCTTAACTTGTATTTCTTCCCCAAAAAATGGAGACAAGCACAGTAACTTTAGTAATTTATCACTTTATCCAAACTATTAAAAACTAGAAAAACTATTCTCTTACCTCCAGTCCTGTAGAAACAGACTGTTTTAGATTTAATACTGAAACTCCAGTTGCTTCAGCAGACTTAAAATTCATTATGCTCACTATATGGCAATTTACTGTATCAAGACCTTCCCAACTTGTATCTTTACTAAAATAATGAATACTCAAAGTCACTAATGAATTTCAAAGAGAACTAGCCAATCTTCTTCTGGTGGATGGAAAATTCACTCCTTTTATATAGGCAAGAAAGCTCTTAGAACAGTAAGAATCTTGCATCCTATTTAGATTAATATGCTGCAGTATCAGGAGAGGGCACCCTTGGACCAAACTTCTCAGTTAAATGCCACCAGGGAAAGATGAGAAGTTCATGAACTATAGCTTAGTTCTTTTCAGAAGGCAGATATTTACCAAAAATGAATCCAGATTAAAAGAAGTGCAAAACAAAAGAAATAATTACCTTGTACTTGAAAAAGCAGTATCTCTTCTTCAAGTGACAATACTATTCCTCAGTCAGTTTTTGAAAAATATAAAGAAATGCCTTATTTTCTTGAGGGTTTTTTTTTGTTTGGGGTGTGTGGGGGCAGGGGTTGCTTTTTTTTTTTTTTTTTTTTAAAGTTTTCTAAAGTTATAGTAAAAATCCTGAAGACAAACAAAGCAGCAGCCAGTACTAAACAACCTAACTAAATAAGAGATGAGATTTATTATCTAGACTACATCGACATCTCAAATCAGATCCTCATGACAGTTTCAGTAACGAAGAACAATTTTTGAAATAAGATTTCCTGAAGTTAAGTCTCACAAAGTGTTCTTAACTTCTCTGTTTAAAAAAAAAAAATCCCTCAAAACTAAAAGCACTTTACAATAAACTTAAGAGCACACGATTTTTCCTATAGGTGTCAAAAATTATAACCGGGATTTTCCCTCCTCTGTTCATTAACAGTTTTAGCAATTTCTGGCTCTGCCACTGATTTGCTAAGAGAACTCATTCAAGTCACCTCACTTGGTTTGTGAAAGGATAAGTAATGCAATGAAAACTAGCAGCAAAATACCCTAAAAATCAATGATGAAAATAGATTATAGGTACTGAGGAATAGATACATGAGGTATGTTAAAAGGGATATAAGAAAGAGGTTTCACTTAAGGCAGTAGTTCTGCATAAGGTTTCAGATTACTATTTTTAAAATATAACACATATATGTTAATTCTCATTTATTTCCTCTTTCATATGCCTCTCCAGAATCACAAATAGTTGAAAAACAATTTAAAAGTTTTCCTTTATCACTGCAAAGCTAACTACATGATACCTGAAGAACTGAATTGCCACAAGGACAACATTTTTGACCTTCTATTACTAATGTAATATAATAATAATTGCACATAAAGGAAATACTGTGAGAACTCTCAAGCTAAATACATGAACATGCATAGTAAAAAGAATTCTTTTCTATTATACAAATTGATATAGGTAACTTATTTGCCTTGTTTTTTTACAAATAACGGCTCCTGAAAGATATACTAAAAGGAACTGCCTTAATATTAAAACAAACAGAGCAAGTTATGCTTCAAATGCCAGTTAGTCAGACTATAGAACTGCCTCTAGTCAGCATTCTCACAAATTCTTACCACTTACGCAAGTAAGAATCCTGTTCTCTTCTGTCTTTGGGGACAGAGGCATCTTTGGGCTAATGACAATTTTGAGAGCAAAATATGAACTAATTATAAAAAAGTATTACCAGACACTGACTTTGTGAAAGTAATTTTTGATTAATATAAATTATAATTCCTCGGACTTTAAAACAGGCCTACATAAAACAACCTCTTGGCTCTTTTTCCTAATACTCGATGATCACATCTTACGCTGTGATTGCCACTCACATTGTGAGAAAACACTGAAACAGACTAGAAAGTTCACTGCATAATTAGCTTAATCTGCTGGGTTTGTTTCTCAGAAAGGAGATCAAAGTCAGAAATGAGTATAACTGAATGTGAAGGAAGAGGAGGAAAAAAAAAAATTATAGAAGTTTAGTATAAGGAATAATTCCTCTACAATCCTGTATGGGGTAAAATGAACTGTCAGAAGTATTCTTGATTTATATAAAATACTTAATTCAGTTAAAATATTCAAAAAGTCTACAAGCACATTTAATCAATTAAATTTCTGTGTATTTCAGAAAATTATGTTTTCAATACTGCTTTAATATTTTCACTTAGACATAAAGGTACAACATGTTCATATGCTCAAATTTAAATACCTGCCGCTCATTAAACAGCATTCAATTTATTTTTTCTATACATTAATCTGAAGACATAAGACCTATATATTTAACATACATCAGACAGAGATCTACATATTTAACATACATCAGACTGAAATGCGCTACATATAGTATTATTCTTGCCTTTTTCTGTATATTATCCCAGTATATGTTTGATGTTACCCACACGAGCACAAATCCCTGAGCTTGAAAATCCAGCATCTGTACAGTCACGTATCAACACCAGCATGACACAACTTGGAGAAGTTCTGTTAACGACGATACCTTTAGAGCGCATGAATAGGCCTTTTCTCCCACATTAATGGACTTCGGATCATCATCATCCAGGTTTTCCCAAATCCTAACATCTCCATCACTGCCACAAGTGACAATGCAGCTGTGGAAAGACACAGGACTTGTTAACATTCAGGAATGGAAAGGACAGCCACTGTGACTTTCAATCCCAAAATGAAAATGTTACTGAAGTGTTAGGTTTTTTTAAAATTGTAACACAATACGTACTATGTGATACAGCAAATACCTACATTTATTATGTCTAATTAACTTATTAAACACAAGCAAGGGGGGGAAATCACATCTGGTAGCATAACACAGTACCTTGAGTCTCTGATAACTACCTAGGCCTGGCACCCAGCTGAACTGACCCTTAGATATTACCGGTCAATCCATTTTTTCCAGGACCCAGAGCGAATTTTTCAAAGGACTTAATTAGCACTGATTTCTCTAAGAACTGGGCATTTAATTGCTTCTTAAGACTTTGAAAACTTACCTTACAGCTGATTACAAAGTTGAGGGCAAAACTAAGAGCGTTAATGCATACTTGACTGAAGTTCAACAAGCTTAACATGTTCCAGGCCTACAGAACCCTTAAAAATAGTTAATGTGGAATTCAAGTTTGCTGGAGTTAACTTTCACAATTTTAATGCAGTAAACAATAACCTGAAGTCACAGAGCAAATATACAGAAGTTTGCATGGGATTTTTAATTAAAGACATTGTGAATCTATAATCAAGCCTTGCATTGTTTTTTTCTAAAGTTGTTCGCAGTCCCAAAAAATTCTAATTAAACAGCAAAATGTTACAAAGCCAGTGGTGAAGCTGTGATGTTGCTGCTCTTAGTTCTGTAAGGTCTGTACTTTGACAGCAACCCAACACTGTGTTGATATTGAATATATTGATGCTGGGTAGTCCAGCAGTAGTGGACCAGTGGCATTTGGCAGAGATGTCTGCATCCCTTTTTAAACATTTGCATTGTAATGGCAAACAAGGCTTTTTGTGGTTTCGAGGGATTGTTATTACACTAACTCTTAAGAGTAGTCTTTGTACCAAGGCTAATGGACTAAGGGAAGGAATAAGAGAATATGGACTTAAACCATACTCAATATATAAGACCTACCCCTTGAGTTCATTTTGAGAGGTCTTGTTTTCTGGTTTACCATTTATTTTTAATCAATAAAAAGGTAACAGCAAATACTTAGTTTATATTTATACACTCAAGAACTAGCGCAAGAATAACAAGAAAAGGCAGCAAGCCCAATATTGGATTCCTTCAACTATATTTTTAATTTCTTAGTGCATATGTGAACGTATTTACTCCCACACTACATTGATTTCTGCTAGATTCTATGAAGTCACTCTTATAAATAAGTGCATATAGAGTTTTTGTATACATACATAATATATATACATACATATATATATATGTTTACATTTAAGTTATAAATCAATCACTTCAAAACTCAGGGCATCAAAATATGTCACGTAGCCAGTTCTCAACACAGGCAAAAACCAAAGGATTTGCCAGGCCCAGCCGGGCCATAAAT